TATATTATGAATGCTATTATATTTCTACTACTGTCTACAAAATACAATACACCACAGGGTAGGCGACCTTCATTTACAATAAACATAAACAATACAAGAACTGTTAATTATTCATTAGTTCATTGTTCGAGTTGGTTCTGGTTGAATTGTTAAGTATGCTATTGATTTCGAGTAAACAGACGATACGACCAGTTTAAAATAGTAAGATTGTGTATATGTATCGGAACAAGATATAGCCAGTAGCATTGTTATGACCAGGTTGCATTGTTGATTATCATTTGACTTATCGTGGGTAAAATGTCGGAATTAAAGAGGCTCATCCAGAATAATTGACAAATTCATTGCCTACGTAGATTCAACTCGAGAAAATCGAGAACTTGCATATTCAACTGCACTAAGGCATTTTCAGCAACTTTTACAGTTCAGGGGAGACAACTATAACCAAATACGTGTACTACAATAGCCATTAAAAGTACGTCGATTACTTTACTCAAATCAATTGTATATCAACACCAGTAGTTCTGCAGCTCTATGTCATACTTTTCTGCGCCTAAGTTGGCGAAGAGGAAAGGGGGCGGGGGGTATTCTATGACAGTGGGAGTACAGGGAAAGGGTTATGTTTAATGAAACGTCCCTGCCTCTGGACGAAAGGAAAAACACATCGAAACGTTTAAACATTCAACCGGTGATTGTTGTAAATAAAACTATGTCATGTTGTAAATTTATAGTTGTATTCGCTGGTGAAACAAGAAAGGCGGCTATTGCCAAGATGGATGAGGATCAGGCAAACTTACTTCTTCTAAATTAGTTGCTCTTTTACGTTAAACTGAAGAACTTTGTTAGAAAATTACCTTTCTGATGAAATATCATCTTTATTCTCCTAAATTATAGTCAATTTCTGCGAAAATCAATTTATGTATTTCCGTTCTTTGACTGGCATCCTTTATCAAAGATGGCGCCAATTGAGACAAAAGTTTGGTAATCCTGAACTACAAGCCTCTGATGTTTGAACTATCGGAATCATGTAATCAAATTACAATCTGGATATACATGTAGTTCTGGTTAATAATGGTTATCATTTTTTACCGTGACATGTAGTAGAGCGCTAGTAGAACCTTCACGGATGACCGTTTGAAATTATACTTACTGAATTGTACGGAGAAGCGAAACCAGGGAGTGTATTGGGGTAGAATTGTGACATTGAGAATAACTTGTAATTTAATATATTGTATATAAATATATGGACCAGATGTGTCGGACTATTCTATTCTAGGGCGTAATTATCGCTATTATGAACTTAATAAAAGTGATAACGTTACGAATTATGTGTCCCTTTAACACTGTACACATTTCTTGTCAAGTTCCATTCAAGGGTAGAATAGGTGGGAGACGACTGATATAGGATCTAACACGGACAATTTCTAGATATTTCCTTCATTTTCACTTCTTTATAAACAGGATCTCTCACCACAGCCTCAAAAACTTAAAACAAACTTTTGATTCAATATGTAACATATGTACCCTTTCTTTCAAAAAATGGTATCGTAGAAAAAATAGGTACTTCTTTTCATGCATTACTTCGATTGTCACCAACATTTCCTCTTTTACAGGATCTCTCATCGTGCCTGTAAAACTCAAAATTGAAGCTTTTGTTCATTCAGCGCTATCTAAGATAAAGGATGTCTGTTACAATATGAAACGACATAGAATAATTTTAACAAGAATTGAGTATAAATTGAGGAGTAAAACGATGATATTTCAACAGAATTTTGATTTCTAGTAAATCTATACAGCTAGTTAGTAAGTATACAGTAAGTATGTGTTTATATTGTACTTAAATGAAGCTCGTGATACAAACGTACAGCTTTGATGGGATATGTACACATTCCCTGTCCCTCGGACCATGGTATCACGAATACGGGTTTTGACATGGTCTTAGTATGACGAATGGGAGCGTGGATTGGACACGAAGTTCCTCGGTCCTGTATCCGAAAGTATTATCTCGACTTATGCCTGAACCGAACTGAAAAGACCTTAACTCTGGACCTTTACTGAGCCACTGTGGGCACTCAAAATGTATCCAGCATAACATGGGCTTTGGTCAGTTACAACTTAACAGAAACGTCTCTCCCCACAATAAGTTCTTGATGAGGATGCTGATAGCATGAGATGAGCTCTATTCAATCGCCTAATATGAAGCCTTTGTTGTCCTGTTGTGTCTTTCCAACTAAACCTTTGTCAATACAGGTCCCTGAGTGCACAAAGGCAAATAAAAAAACTTAAAATTTCATCTTAATTCTTTCAAGTCCAACTGATCTAAGATAATGATGACGAAGATTTTTGCTTTTCTTATTTTGATGATGATTGCAGTTCAACTATCAGAAGCCAACATCAGAAGGTAACTTTGTTTATTTATTTAGTCATCTTGCTGAAACATTCTGTGTGACATTTTACTGACTCATTGTCGTGGCATTGACTTATCAGGTAAAGATTGAGTGCTTGATTGTCTGTTTATTTATTTGTTTGCGCTCAATACGTCCTTGTTTGAGACGTGACAAAGTATACAACCATAATTCACTTAAAGTGATACTACGACTTAGAATGAACATAAAATTTAAGAATTTTAAACTTGGCCAATAAGAGCCGGGAATTTGTTATAACTTTATGACACCAGGATATTTCACTGATGAATATATACTCATATGGACCATTTCGAGAACTTAAATTTTATGTTCGTTCCAAGACGTAGTATTGCTTTAAAGGGGCACTCTGCTTAACCCTCGAAGTGTTAACTGGGCTTATTATGTGTGATATTATATACATATGTCCTTTGTATAGTTTCTATACGTTAACCTGAAGACAGAGAAAACATTTTAGACATCAAATTTTATAAGTGCTTAAAAAATTAAAAAGATACATGATGTGATTTTTGCGTGGACAGAGTACTTCGAACTACGAACTCCGAGAGGTACGTTTGTGAAATCGCTTCTGGTTATAAACAATTGGTGGTCCAATCAGAATTCATTTCTCATAATCAAATATCCGCATGGATATTTTAAGTCTAAACTTTCAATAAAGGTAAAAGGCATCTTCCTCTATATGTTGGCAGGCAGTTTGGTGTATTTCACACTCAAAACCACAAAAACCGATTGAAAAAAGCAGAATGCCCATATAAACAAGGCCCGTACCCAGACTTGACTTGAAGTAATATATTAGGGGAGGTGAGGGCAATGGGGGAGTACGGATGGTCGTGAATAGCGGAAGTAGAGGGAAATCACTATCACTACTTCAAATAGAAGAAACAATTAATTTAATTTCAATATTATTGCATCAATGTTGACAACCAGATGATCATCATTCAATTAAAGATGTTACATTTCAGATGTTTCTGTACAATTAACCATCTACGTCCAGACGGTCATTTTAGTGCAATTGAGGCAGAGAAAGAACTAGATAGTTGTGGTAGCGACCATTGGCTGAAACCTTTTTCATGTGGTTGTAGTTCTAACACTATGTACGGCTGCAGATCAAAATGTGACGACTACATCAGCGGTTATGCCGAAAATTGTCCTGCGCAATATAAGGGCTTCAAAATAAAGGTATATCACAAAGCCAGTTCCTGTAACGAAGGCTACGGCAATACGCTGTACACATGCAAGTAGAAAAGGGAAATTCTGTTCTGTAAAAGTCAATACACATTATTAATTGATGTTCTTTTCTTAATATTTGCTTTCTTGCCTAGATACCTTCAAAGTCTGTCAAATCTCTGATTAACCTTTACTCTGAAATATGAATAAAAAGCAAATATAAATGGTTCTTTTCGTGTTTTTCTATAATCGACATCATTTGACATCCAATATATTATAAGGCTTGCATAGATTATGACAATTTGTGAGGATCTTGATTCCAGTTAAATTCACTGGAACACAATTTGAAGAAGAATCTCGTCAGTAGTCATCAGATCAAGAAAAGCAAAACAAAACATAAAACAAAACATAAAACAAAACATAAAACAAAACATAAAACAAAATATAAAACAAAACGTCTAGATCAGTATATTAGTCAGATTGAAGTGACTTGATTCAATATTTATTTTCTTGTCTTACTATATTAAACTAAACAATCTGCGATTGAATGTTAAAATGACGACTCGTCAATTCAAGATACTCTGTGAAACATAGAAAAGACATATATGGGGAAAGCGAGTAAAATTCTCAGTTTGAAGTATTTTAAAGGATTTATGCGATTTTTTTCTAGTACTTATGAAGACTATTTACATATATTCAATAATCAACCCCCAAAAATAGCGCATCTGTACCTTTAACCTGGAGGAAAATATCAAACTAAAATAATCGTTGTACAATAATTTATGGTTATTATAATAAAAAAGGAGATTTATAACTCTTTCAAGCATGATGCAATTGAAAGTCCATACTGCGCATATTGAACCTGAAAAAATGTCACTCATGTCCATCGTCAACGACGGAGAAGGGTCTAAATAGTTGGTGCATACTCGATTACTTACATCAAAACCACCAACCCGATAATATTACATTTAGTGATAATTTCGC